TGATCTTCCGAGGAAGCCCTGTGGAAAATGGTGACAAAATCATACACGTAAAAACATGAAAAAATACTCATAGAAGTGTACAATTAAATCTGATATATAGTATAAATGAACATAGATTTAAAACAATAATACAAATGACAACAGATTTGTGTGTCATATCTGTAAACAACTCACTGGTAGAGAAAAATAATCATTAAATCTTACACCAAACAGTTTTGTGAATGAAAAGTATATTACAAACTTAGGGATTTACAAAATAAGATGTTTAAATTCCATATCTTGTGTTAAAATGATTCGAATTGTCAACACAATCATATATATTATGAAACGTTTGTACCTAAAAGCATATTTAAAATGCGTCACACGATTGTTGAATGGGAGCCATTTCAATATGAAATATTTCTTTTGAGGGCGTATAGAAGTAACATTTTAGGAATAATTCTAAGTTTGATGATGCGTCCAGTGTTCACATGAAAACGCAGCGTCCAACTTTCATAGCAATAATCAGGGCTCGATTTGACGAATCATAGATACATTATTGGTAGGGTGTCTTCATCAACATAAGGTCTGACCCTTCGTAACCAAATTATCAATATAAATAAAGAAAAGAAGGGCCCTAGAATGGACCCTTACGGCACTCCTACAGAAACAGAATAATCATCTCAGGGTGGGTGCTTTTACTCTTTCCAGACAGATTTAGATTTGATTTAGTTTTTGTTTTGTTACATGAGATTCATGTATCGTGATAGCGTTGAACAGATTCTGAAGAAAATGGCACGGAATTTCCGGCTGTGTCTTCCTTGCTGATTCCTAGTGTTTTCCCCCTATAATCACAATATTTAGCTTTATGCCCTAACTTTTACAAGTGTGACATCGAATCTTAGTTTCAAAAAAGCAGTTGAGTTATTTGTGATTCATCTCTCTGCAGTTAAAGCAGCATTTGTATCATATGTCAGGCTTTTATACCATGCAGTGTTTCCATTCGTCATAATAGAAGTTTCTTAAATAGAACATCAGACTTCATTGGTTTGGTGGAATTTCCTTACATTTCTCAAAACTCCTCATACGTTCCGTTTATGTTGTTTGCTAGGCCGAGGCTAACGTCATACGTCTTTTGTTGCACCATAATATTAACTAAAAGGTCCAGTTTTGCGAGAAAAAATGAAAACACTGATACCATGGTTCGCTAAACACGCGATTGTCAAAGCGGTCGGTCGGGGTGGGCACGGCGAGGATGTTTCAAGTGTTCCTCGCGTTGATTAGTTACTTGAATTGGGCGTGTCTCGCTACGCAGACCTTCCTGATCAGGGTGCCTGTTAGCTGCGACATCCGCAAATTGGATATTAACCCGTGAAAGTCTGCTTTAATTTCAGAGTGTTTCAGTAGACGTGTTCAGCGCTTCTTAATTCGCTGTTTAAACGGAATTAGGCAATTTGTATTGTCAACATAAACATCATTTCGAAAAATAAATAAACAGACTATTTGTAATAATGGATCTTTAATCACGTTTTTACTTCCTATTGAGGAGTTCGGGAATAAAGACTACATTGCAAGAAAAACTTTACAGAAACTATAATGCTGCTAAGTGAACAAGACAGTGTCATATTTGAGTTATAAAGATAACACAGCAAGGAAGATGAGCAAAGTCTTTCGACAACCTTAACTGTAGTATTCTTGGATGCTTGCTTCACGTTTACAATACATGTTGTCTTCTGAGAGTTAACTTTATTTGAGATGTGCGCAAGAACAAAATACAATCAATCAACTGTTGCTCGACTTGATTTCATCGAATAATTGAGATTTGTTTTCCATCGGTCAAAATGGTGAGTCCTCGCCTTTATTTATTTAATTACAAACATGTGCATATATATATATATATATATATGTATGTATTTATGTATGTTGTATATATATCAGTGGTGGGTCCAGGTGGGGGCCGAATCGGCCAGCCCATCCCCCCCCTCCACTGGGAGAGAGAGAGAGAGAGAGAGAGAGAGAGAGAGAGAGAGCAACGAGAAAGAATCGCTACCCTGAATACGAAATAAGAACCAGGGAGGATGTTGTCGTTAGTAGAACAATACAAAAAACAGTTTTATTTTAATAAAAAAATTAGAGATGAAATGATAGGGGCTGTGTAAATATCGAGGAGAAAATCACTACTGCTATCGCTCGTGACGTGACGACTATCTCAAAGACTCTGAAGTCCTAACACTCGAGAGCGTCCGGGGGCTCCGTCCTTTGTTCCTCCGGCAGGGGAACTCCCCCTGGACCCCATCCGCAAAGATAAAAGTGATTCCCCAGACAACCCTTTGTTGTAAATTTGTCCATATTAGAGAGTGAAAGTCTTTCTGTCGCTCAAGACGGCCATTTTGAAGGTTCAGAAATGCTAAAACTCGAGAACGCCTGGGGCTCTGCACCACAACTGGGGCCTTAAGGCGGGCCCTTGGTCCCGACCCCATCCAGAAAGGCTAGCGCTAACGTGCAAACGTTGGTTCCTCCCCCCCTCCGAAATCCTAGATCCGCCGCTGCATATTAAATCGTAGATATAAGTTGTTGTTGTTGGTAGTAGTTTTATGGCGTTCATTCATAACTGGATATATACGCCATATCTTCAGTTATATAAGAAAATTGAGTTATCAGTAAAGAACACTGGAAATAACAAATTGTAATAATGTAATAAATTAATCAGTATCGCAATTTATTAGGAGTTTCTAGATGGTTTACAACTTCGTATTTTTGCTTTTTTGTCTTCATACGTTTTATCTGGTCAGCCCGGTTTCGATTGCATAGAAATCTAGCTTTGCTCGATCTGAAACCACGGAACCGTAAAATGTAACAGTTCTGTGTCTGAAACAGGCTTTTCGGCTACTCGGCGTGCGTGCGAAGTGATCTTTTTATTTCGTAGATAAAAATATCGCCAAATTGATGTACACATGGAAGGGATTATAGGTACACACTATGCAGCTCTCTGATTGGTCTGATGGTATACAATATCTACCACACACATTGAGCCAGCCATTGTCTGTCATGCTCCTACAGCAGGAACACACCCGCTCTATAACATCTCAAACAGAAATCAATTTTGACTAGCCGCCAAATCGTAGTGTCGTTCATTAAATGAACTACATGTATCTATTGCACTTAAAGCATTTTCCATCCGTTATTTTGTGTGCAAATAAACACCATTCCACGTCTTTCTTGTTTGGAAAATAACAGTTGGTGCCGTAAACGTCAAGATTTTTGTTCGACTGAAAAAGTATCTTTACAATAATTATAAGAGCAGAAAACAATTTATATAAAGGTAAGACGAATCAAGGGTCATATTGGGTTTTATCATAGAATTCGATGATAATGATCAATTGTATTGGATAACAAATTTATCAAGATCTGAATTTTATACATTAATATTTCAAAGAAATACAAGGCAAAACTAATGTGAAATATGAATATATTTTTGTTTAAAGGACGTGGGGAATCAACATTTCCCATTTCTTAGAAGTTTCAATTTTGTTGTGTCTACCTAATATTGATGACCACATGTGGCATGTTTTGTTATTAAAAACAATATAAACATTCGCAAAGCGTTCTTTTTTTAAACTAATTTCGTTATCCCCATCCTTATCTTTAAGTCAATCCAATAGTTTCAGGGTTTCATCTTCATCTTTCTACTCGTCTTTAATTGGTAGACAACATTGTCTTACTATAGATAGTCATTGTAGCGAGTATTTAACTGTTAAGTCCGGGGTGCCACAAGGGTCAATTCTGGGCCCATTGATTTGTGTTTGTACATTAATGATATTAATAATTAAACATTTAATAATAATTCCAAAATATCACTTTATGCTGACGATACTGTCATTTTTAATAATTCTAATGATTTTTCTAAAGTTCAAGAAAATTTACAGAATGACTTTGATTTAATATTTAAATGGTTTGGTAAAGATGTATATACTCCCTCAAAAAAATATGGTTATGTCCTTTGGATCAAAAAGAAAGTTGAAGAACAATCGTCTCTCAATTAAATCAATTGGATAAAAACTTACAGTGTGTCGAAACAATGAAATACTAGTTATACTTGACTCACAACTTGCATGGTCTGAACATATAAAATATATAAGTACTAAGATATCTCGTTCTATTGAATGTATTCGTCGTATACAACGCCAAATACACCATAAAACTCTTGTAAACCTCTATCTTGCATTAATTTTACCACATATCGACTATTGTTGTACTGCTTGGGGAAACTGCTTAAAGACAAATTTATCGAAGCTGCAAAAGTTACAAAAAAGATTTGCGAGATTGATTTTAAATAAGGATTACGACACACCACAATGTACGCTTCTTACGACTTTAAACTGGCAATCGGTCGAACAAAGATTAAAATATCACTACTGTTTGTTAGCTTTTAAAATTATAAATGTCATAGCCCCAACTTATTTAAAATCACTTATCAATTATCGCATCGCAACTACTGTACCCGCTATTCATTGAATTCTCTTCTTGACATCCCATACCCGAAAACCGAATTCAAAAAAGATAATTGTCGTATAAAGCAAGCACCCTATTTAATAAACTTCCTCCCTCAATTCGATCAACCAAATCAATTCAAATATTTAAGCGCGGATGCCAATTGGCAAAGCATTTATTATAGTAGAATCTCCGTTCTTATTTCCCTCTACCGGTATAAGCAGTTTTCTTATGTTATTATGTATGTACTCTATATTATGTCAAACATGTAAATGTTAAGTTTTTATGAATGTTATATTGTTCTGTATTCCTTGTATTTTGTATATCACAAACTTGTTATGTCGTTCTAGAGAGCGTACTTGGAAAGCAGTTCTGTTAAAGTGAATGTATACCCACCCTCTATTTCAAATAAAACTTGAATAAATAAATAAATACAAATAAATACATCACTTTTCGTAAGAGTGAGAAAACGGTTTTACTTTAACAGTGCTAAATCCCTTCATTTTTTTTTCTTTTTGACTATACAATAGATGCAGAGACATAAATCCGCTGTTACCCTGAGAGACACGTTCCTACTTCTCTGCACTTCATTCGTCATTGGTGAGAGTTAGAATGAATTTCGTCCTTTTTAAAATTAATTAGAAGTATACTCGCGGGCTAGATCAGTTACCTTGGGGGCAAAAGTCCAATTTGAGGGTTTTGAGACATTTGATATTGTTTTCAATATGTTGAAAAAATATTCTGCTGAAAAACAGTTGTACCATATTTCAAAAAAGCCGCTATGCATGTATATGTAATATTGAACAGTTTGAAGATTACCTTTTAACATAACCACAATTTTACCCGGTTTGAAATAGAATTACAAATTCTCTACAAAATGATACTACATTTGTTAGGCTTGATTATAGTTTGAATAACAATGGAGAGCCAAAAATGTGATTTTCCCCAAATTTTCCCGATAATATGAATTTCGTCCAAAATGCATGTCTCTCTACGTTTCATAAATTATCTTCAGTAATTTCTTTTTAGAAAACTGCCTAAACATATGTTCAATATGATATCAAAATTATCTTTTAAATGTTATAGCGCTCTAAACTTAGTATGCTGATATCAGTTAACATGGCATTTATGGGTAAAAATACGTCAACCCCTAAAGTATTGCAACAACAGGTTTACCAAAGGTTTCCGGTAACGTTTGAAATCTGGAACAACATACTAAAATTTTAAGAAACATACCTAGGTATCGGGGGTCGAAGAATCCATCATACCACATACAATGTGTTATGGCCACCAAAATATCTGTAAATTCAACATGGCATCCAAAATGGCCACCATTCTCCTAAAGATGACCGGAAGTGAGTTAAAGTTGGCAGTAAAACTGTCATTTGCAAGATTAAATGTATGTTTAAGAGGTCAGGATACTCTAGTGTGCTTTAAATGATCATAAAAGGTGTAATTCCACTTGCTATAGCCTTATACTCAAAACAATTTCAAAGATGGCATCCGTTTTGTAATCCGAGATGGCCGACGAAAACTGAAATTAGCCATAAATCGTGACATATCCATATAAGAGATTGTTGTATCTATACCTAGGTTTCGGGGTCGACAAATCAATTTTGACTGTTTAAAATGTGTAACTCATGATGGCGTCCACAATTTATTGTAGCGAGTATCGTAACATAACCGGATTCAGTTTACTATTTACAAGACAGTTTTCAAGTGCAAAGTACATTTTAAGTGTAAAAATATTCATTGATGCACGAAAAAGTATGTTATAGCCTTTTATAGAGCAATGTATCCAAGACGGCTGTGCTGCCATTGTGCAATTCAAAGTTGTTGCCAACGCATTTTTATTTGCTATCCATTAGGTATCCCATCAATAAATATAATGTTAGTGTCTTTTCATTGGTTTCGGGATTTAAAACTCTATTAAAACAAGATCAAGTTGATATGTGTCAAGAATGATGGGCAGGAAAGCTGGAAAAATGTATAAGAACGGCTGACAAATTTAAATGATTGAAAATGAGTAACATTTTTATTTTACCAAATAATGAGGATAATTATATTTGTTAGGTGTAAGTGTATTTTAGCGTTAAAGGTGTACATTGTAGGTTTTGTTAAGATATTCAATACTGTTTTCAAATGCGCAGTCCATCTTAGAGGGCAGAATGGGGGGGGGGGGGAATGTAAATCACATTTCATCTAAGGCTAGAATGTCGACCTCAGTGACACATAATGTCTTGCATTCATGCCAGCAGCCAAATTGTAGAGCACAGTAGCAACCATATTTAAAAGATTACTGTCTCGCGTAAAACTATGTGATTCTTTTTGTATATCAATGAAAATCCATAACTCGAAAATACATTTTGTTTAATCTTCACAACTTCTTACTGTTCAAAAGAGAATCAAAATCTGGTTATGTAAATTATTTATTTGCTAAATTGGAAGTGCACCATCATGGATTTCCAGGTTTTCTGGTGGCCATACCACTCTTGAACGTCATTTTGAAAATAACCACTTTCCGGGGGTCCGATTTTCTTAGAGTTTGTGCCTGCTTTCAAGCACTACCGGAAACCGTTGAGAAACCTGTTGTTCATCCTAACACCGTTTTCCACATAATATCACCCATAGCAACCATCACATCCAGATGCCACTCTGACAAAATGACTTCTCCTACAAATTATCATTATTTACTTCACCCTTAAAAACTTCATATTAAAAAACATGCTAGTGTGCGGACCTTGGAAGGCTCCTGGGCTAGAATAAGGACTTTGAGATTTGCACGTCGACATAGTTGACTGCTACGTGATGACGTCATTTTAAGGCACCGCGCATGCGTCACGTCGTCTCCGTCGTCGACTATCAGAATCGAGAACGCGTCCACTTTGATTTTCCCGTCGTCCTAAATCTACAACGCCGTGCACTTGTTTTCACATAGTCATGACGTCATTTCAAGCCTCAAGATGAATGATAAAAAATTCAGAGATATAATTTTGTCTTTGAGTAACAACAGCTTTCACGAAACTGAGGTAGATCTAGGTAGATTAAAATTCTTTTGTCTTGAAATGTGAAAGTTTGTTTGGTATGTTATAGCACCCTTAGAAAGGTTTATAGCTAGTGGCAATGGCAGTGTGCATAAGCTTCGTCTCCGCACCGTGTACCGCCCAGCCGGCTGGTGACGTGACAGTACGCGCGGAATTTCCTTTGAAATTTGGCGCGCCGTTCATGACTTCATCATGCTGACTTCCTGTCGACGTATATCCTCGAGTAAAATCTAAAAGATCATATCTGTAGTCAACAGGGGCAGTTGACTACGCTGACACGCATGATCAGTGGACGTTCACGCCGTTCCCGTCCACTCAATCTAAAAGTCCCTAACGACTCCTCCTATACACCGCACCCACATTTCGCATCCCCTCTTTTCAAATTCAATTAAACACCTTCGACTCAACGCATGCCAGATAGCAATTAGTGTTCCCACGTATTGCCGTATAAACAACATTTGCCAGCTATACGATGTAACGCTGGCAAATACATGTTGCAATTGTTTTTGGTCAAACTCTATTCTGACCCCACTAAGTATTGTATCTCATATTTTGTTAGGTTTAAGTCTTTAATTTAGGTGATCGTGGTAGTAAAGAAAGGTAGGGAGGTAGAATCATGATTGTTTGGGAGATAGTTCCCTTACTAGGGAGCCGGAACCTGTCAAAAACAAAACTACATGTAATGTCGTAATTCGATTGAAGATACGACAGGTAGTTAAATGTTTTTGACCGGTTCCTGATCCACTCTCTTTCTGCTTCCCCATGTTTGGCTAAACTGATGACATGTGTCCCCATCACTTCTTCGTTACCCCTCCCGGACCAGTGACATAAGACGAGGTTGAATAGGGGGTGGCGACACGGGGGAACTTACGTAACAAATGCAAAAATGTGGAGTGTGGAGGGGAGAAGAATGAGAGAGTGTGTGTGTGTGTGTGAGAGAGAGAGAGAGGGGAGAGAGAGGGAGAGAGAGGGGAGAGAGAGAGAGTAAGTGAGTGAGTGAGAGAAAGAGAGAAAGAGCAGAAGATGCGTATTCTAGTAGTCTGCGAACATAATTATTCAGGTTGAACTCCGTTGAACGAAAGTAATGAGATTACATTTTTGTATTTGATTCTTTGTTGTTTCCTTGCGATCTTGTTTTTTGTGTGTATACATGTCAACTTTACATTTTGTGTATTTAATGACTTATTGATTTTCTGTATATGTGTACTTGTTTCAGCTCACGCGCGGGGGTCTACAAACATGGCCGATGAAGTGTTGCATACGGCGGATAATCATTGCCAGCCGATTCTTGGCAATGGTAAATTGATGCCTACAGTGCCAGAATACATGCCCTCGTTTCCCGTCGCCTTGAAGGGAATTAAACGACATTTCGTTTGCAAGTTAGCTGGTGAGTTTTAGGTTTATAGTGATGATCGTAACAATTATGATATGTCAGTCCAACTTGTAGATTGATTATAACTCATTGAAGGGTAGGCATTGGAAAATTATGATTCTTGAACAATAATGATAACTATACAATTTAGAACCTATCAACTACTAACATGTATGCATGCGTTAGAAAATTGAGACCTTTCTGAGATCATAGAGGAGTCAATGTCGAAATATTTTCAGACTTAGAAATATGCAATAGTATATAAAGGATAGGTGTTAAGAATCATGATCTTTTCACACATGCCCTCTAAGGAAGTGGGTGATTTTAGTGCAAATGGAAATTGTCAAAGATTTTCCAAGGTATGCCGCATGGAAGGCCCATTAATATAATTATGTATGAGTACGTTTAAGCACCCCCCCCCCTTTCCTTCGTTCCTCGCTTACCACCATCTCCATCCCCATATCATATTGCTTTAAGAATCAACTACTACACAACACGCCACAACGAAGTACACAACGGAATCCGCCACGTCACATCCTACCACTACTACTCGTAAGAAAACTCCATTTACACCATCGCTCGTTTCCCTCTCTTCTCTCTCTCTCTGCCTCTTTTCCCTCTCTTCTCTCTCTCTCCCTCTCTCTCTCTCACCATGCTCACTTTTTCGGTTTACAATCTTCACATTTTTTTTTCAATTAACCCTCACTCTCTGTCTGTCTTTCTGTCTCATTCTCTCTCTCTGCCTCTTTTTTTCCTCTCTCGATTTGTATTTTATATGATTTCTCACTTCCCTTCTCTCTCTCCAATTTTCTCTCTCCGTCTATCCATGCTTCTCTCTTTCGCTTTCACGTTCACGTGTATACAATATATGCTACAACGTGAAGCAACTTCTTGTTCTCGGCAGCCGCTCAGGCGTCAAAAGCTAGGAATTGAATATCATGTGACGATTTGTCTAGTAAGATTTTTTAAATTTTGGTAAATATGAATTTAAATTTTGATTTACGCCCAGGGTTTATCATTAGACGTTTAAATCATATTTCTTTTTCAGAATCAACTACTACACAAGACGCCACAACGAGGTCTGCGACGGAATCCACCACCTCACATCCTACCACTACTACTCGTAAGAAAACTTCATTTACACTATGTCTCTCTCTTTCTCTCTGGGAATTAAATAGCATGTCATGATTTATCCAGTGAGATTGGTAAATTTGTTGTAAATATGGTTTTAAATTTATTTGCTCCCAGGGTGTTTCATCAGGTGCATATCTCATATTTCTTCTTCAGAATCAACTTCTACACAAGACACAACAGCGATGTCTTCGACGGAAGCCACCACCTCACACCCAACCACAACGACTCGTAAGAAAACTTCATTTACACCACCTCTCCCCCACCTCTCTCTCTCTCTCTTTCTCTCTCCGTCTCTCTCTCTCTCTCTCTCTCTCTCTCTAATCTCTCCCTCTCTCCCCCTCTCTCTCTCCCTCTCTCTCTCTCTCTCTCATCTCTCTCCCTCCCTCTCTCTCTCTCTCCTTCTCTCTTTCTCTCTCCTCTCTCCTCTCTCCTCTCTACTCTCCTTCTCTCCCTCCCTCTCTTGGCGCATTTATACTGCCAAATACCTCATTTCCTAAAATTGCGATGTTTCGCGCACACGTTTACACTTGTGCTGAAACATCACCGACTGAAAAGCTCAGTGACGTTTTTGCGTGTTTCAGATGGTAATGCGCATGCGCGGCACTCCGATGCATAAACTGTTATTATTCTTATTATATTCTTTATCTTTTTATTTCTGTCTTTCCAAATGTTATTCTTTGTTTCTTCCTTCTTTTACCTTCTTTTATGTTATTCTTTGTTTTTTTCTTTTTATCACCTTCTCTTATGTTATTCTTTGTTTTTAAAATTATATCACTTTCTCTTTCTGTCTTTCCTTAAGTTATTCTTTGTTTCTTCCTTCTATCACCTTCTGTTATGTTATTCTTTGTTTTTTATCATTCTATCACTTTCTCTAATGTTATTCTTTCTTTCTTCCTTCTTTTACTTTCTTTTATGTTATTCTTTGTTTTTAATTTTCTTTGTTTTTACTTTCTATCACCTTCTCTTACGTTATTCTTTGTTTTTATCCATTTTATCACTTTCTCTTTCTGTCTTTGCTTATGTTATTCTTTATTTCTTTCGTCTATCACTTATTCTTTTTGTCTTTACTTATGTTATTCTTTATTTCTTCCGTCTATCACTTTCTCTTTTTGTCTTTCCTTATGGTATTCTTTATTTCTTCCGTCTATCACTTTCTCTTTTTGTCTTTCCTTATGTTATTCTTTATTTCTTCCGTCTATCACGTTCTCTTTTTGTCTTTCCTTATGTTATAATTTGTCTCTTCCTTCTATCACTTTCTCTTATGCTATTCTTTGTTTTTACTTTCTATCACCTTCTCTTATGTTATTCTTTGTTTGTTTCCATTTTATCACCTTCTCTTATGTTATTCTTTGTTTGTATCCATTTTATCACTTTCTCTTTCTGTCTTTCCTTATGTTATTCTTATTTTCTTCCTTCTATCACTTTCTCTTTTTGTCTTTCCTTATTATTCTTTGTCTCTTCCTTCTATCACTTTCTTTTATATTATTCTTTATTTTTTAATCATTCTTTCACTTTCTCTATCCGTCTTTCCTTATGTTATTCTTTGTTTCTTCCTTCTATATCACTTTCTATCACTTTCTCTTTCTGATTTTCCTTATGTTATTCTTTGTTTCTTCCTTCTATATCACTTTCTATCACTTTCTCTTTCTGTCTTTCCTTGTGTTATTGCTTATGTTATTCTTTGTTTCTTTCTTCTATCACCTTCTCTTATGTTATTCTTTGTTTTTTTTATCATTCTATCACTTTCTCTATCCGTCTTTCTTTATGATATTCTTTGTTTCTTCCTTCTATATCACTTTCTATCACTTTCTCTTTCTGTCTTTCTTTATGTTATTGCTAATGTTATTCTTTGTTTTTACTTTCTATCACCTTCTCTTATGTTATTCTTTGTTTCTTTCTTCTATCACCTTCTCTTATGTTATTTTTTTTTTTTTTTTACCATTCTATCACTTTCTCTTTCTGTCTTTCCTTATGTTATTCTTTGTTTCTTCCTTCTATATCACTTTCTATCACTTTCTCTTTCTGTCTTTCCTTATGCTATTGCTTATGTTATTCTTTGTTTCTTTCTTCTATCACCTTCTCTTATGTTATTCTTTGTTTTTTTATCATTCTATCACTTTCTCTTTCTGTCTTTCCTTATGTTATTCTTTTTTTCTTCCTTCTATCACCTTCTCTTATGTTATTCTTTGTATTTATCGTTCTATCATTTTCTTCAAGGACGACATCTAGCCTCGCTCCTAAATTCACGTGACCTAGCTAACATCGCGATGTTACAACTGCGAGCGTTTATACTTGCCAAACACGCCAAAACATGCCAAAAGATCACACTTTGTTTTGGAATGTTTCGGGCTTGGCATTTCTGCCGGTAAAGCGTAGTTGCCCTTGGTAACATCGCGGTCAGGCTCCGGTTTGGCATTTTTTTTGGCGTGTTTAGAAGACAGTGTACACCCTCTCTCCCTCTTTCTTTCGTTCTCTCCAACCACGCTCACCCTTTTTTATGCCTCCGCTACAAAGTAGCCTGGGGCATTTTGTTTTCGTCTGTACGTCCCGTTCTCGTGATCGCGTTATCTCAAGAACGGATTGATGGGTTCCCGCCAAACTTGGGTCATGTATGTATCTTGCAAAGCCCACGAACTGATTAGATTTGGGGGTCACAAGGTCAAAGGTCACATGGCTCATTATATATGCAAATATAGCTCGTGATTACATTATCATTAGAACCGATTAACGGATTACCATCAAACTCAAGAAATGTATGTATCTTGCAGAGCCAATGAACTGATTAGATTTTGAGGTCATGAGGTTAAAGTTCAGAGGTCATGGGGCTCATTACGTATGCTAAATAAGCTTGTGATCGTGTTATCTCAAGATTGGATTGATGGATTCACGCCAAACCTGGGTCATTAATGTATTTTGCAGAGCCAATGAACTGATTAGATTTTTTGGGTCTCGAGATCAAAGGTCAAAGGTCACATGGTTCATTATATATGCAAATATAGCTCGTGATTACATTATCATTAGAACCGATTAACGGATTACCATCAAACTCAAGAAAGGTATGTATCTTGCAGAGCCATTAACTGATTAGATTTTGAGGTCATGAGGTTAAAGTTCAGAGGTCATGGGGCTCATTACGTATGCTAAATAAGCTTGTGATCGTGTTATCTCAAGATTGGATTGATAAATTCACGCCAAACCTGGGTCATTAATGTATTTTGCAGAGCCAATGAACTGATTAGATTTTTTGGGTCACGAGATCAAAGGTCAAAGGTCACATGGTTCATTATGTATGCTAAAATAGCTCGTGATTACATTATCTTTATAACCGATTGACGGATTAGCATCAAACTCAAGAATTGTATGTATCTTGCAGGGCCAATAAACTGATTAGATTTTGGGGTCATGAGGTTAAAATTCAAAGGTCATGGGGCTCATTACGTATGCAAAAATAGCTTGTGAACATATCAATAGAACCGACGGACGGATTACTATCAAACTCAAGACGTGTATGTATCTTGCAGAACCAACGAAATGATTAGATTTGAGGGTCATGAGGTAAAAGATCAAAGGGTCATACCTTATATATGCAAAATAGCCTGTAATCACGATATTCTGAGAACCTGTAAATGGATTACAATCAAACTTGAATTTGAAAAATTGCTTATGTTTTGGTTTGTAAACTCGCTCACTGGCGGAGGCATTATTTTTGACTTCGCGCATGCAGTCGAAGATCCATCTAGTTATTACCATTTTCTACATTTCTTCATTCACCCTCACTCTCTGTCTCTGTCTCTGTCTTTTATTTCTTTCTCGATTTCTATGTTATATGAATTCTCAATTCCCCTTTCTCTCTTCAAATTTCTTTCGTCGTCTCTCCATGCTTCTCTCTTTCGATTTCATGTTCACGTGGATACAATATGCTACAACGTGAAGCAACTTCTTGTTCTAGGCAACCGCTCAGGTGTCAAAAGCTAGGAATTGAATACCATGTGATGATTTTGTCCAGTAAACTTGTCAAATTTGTGTAAATATGAATTCAAATCCATTTCTACCCTCAGATTGTATAATCTGGTGTATATATCATATTTCTTCTTCAGAATCAACTACAACACAAGATACCACAACGATGTCTACGACGGAATCCACCACCTCACACCCTACCACAACTACTCGTAAGAAAACTTCAGTAAATAATTTGTTCTCTGCAACCGCTGAGGCGCTTAAAACAAGGGGTTAAATATAATCTGATGATTTGTCCTGTAACATTCGCATTAAATTGCGAGAGTTTTCTATTTTGCCGTTTCTTATTCAATTTTCCAAACCGGCTTAGTGGACTAATTAAAAAGAAGAAGAATGATTCTCATATGAGGTATGACTTGATAATCGTTGGTAGCTTGGTTATTATCAACACAAATCCCAAACATAGTTTCATAATATATATGCTAAGTATCCGAATTGCACAATCAATATTTAATTATCATGGTATTCATATTATCTTTACAGACCTAAAATATACTAAGCAAAATATGTATTTATGTAGGAAAACACCTCTGGTAAATATTTTCTTTTGCCAAAGAACTTGATCAGCTACCCACCATTATTCTCTCGTTTTCATTTCTCACAATTACTTATTGCTTCATCTTCTTTTAGTAGAGCCATTTATTGCCCACTATGTCAACGTAACGCTGTACTACTTGCTTTCTAGTCATATCCTCAAAGTACTTTGGGCACGAAATTTTCACGCTTAAAGGTACAATGTCCCATTTCCAGGCCCAAAAAATGAAAAGGTTAAATTCCAACGGCATTTAAAAGACGATACTAATTTAGAACTCTCCTCAAAATGAAAGGGCTTGAAAATGGCTTGTATTGGGAAAAGAACGACCATTAGTTGTCGAATCTCTCTCTCTCTCTCTCTCTCATTCTCTCTCAATCTATCTTTCATTCAGTTCAAACATTTATTTGATATATTTCTTCTTTCCTTACATTCATTTTTTTCTTTCGGCGCTTTCTTTCAAAGAGGCTGTCATCTTTTGTTATTTTAAACGGTTTGTAGCTGCTGCTGTTGCTTTTTTATATTCTTTATTGCTTTCTTTGTTTGGAGAATATTTTATTGTTTCTTTAAGAAAATTGATAGCATGTTAGTCTTTTCGACATATTCTACACAAACCCAACGACAGGTACAACTCTCCTGCTTTAGTTTGTTTTGGTAATGGCATGTTTCTGAACTATATACTTTCGGATTACACGTAGGCCTATGCGAAAAATCAGTCCACAGTTTACTGGCATAAACCTAATCAGAAAAGCAAATAGATAATGGAATATTCTTTACCCTATGTTTATTTTCTTTATAAAGATCCGTCAAATTACCATTTTAAAATAGGTATTTCTATATGGCCATCTTAATTAACAAAATTGGACAAGGAGAAAATATTTTGTCATCGATTTCGCCAGTCAGATTGTTCGATAATCATTACACTTTGTCGGTAAGTCACAGTCATAAAACTTAGCTCTATTTAATGTGAACGAAAACCATGCATAGAAGGAGAAAAGTGGCATTCTGTCGGTTCTGTGGATATCCACATTCTGGAATTATTCACCTCAAAACCTGCATAATACACATTCACAAAGTTCATGAACGTAAAAAATCAGTCTATTGTAGTACGCGTAGTATAGATAATCATTCGATCCCTCTGTGACTCAAAATAGTTTTATAATCGAGAAGTGGCATACTGCCTTTGATTTGTTAAGGTATTGTATATGAGCATTAACATTGATTTGATGTGACTTAAGGGTGAACCTGTAACTGATTATCTCTTTACCAGCTCTCAAGAAGGAAGAACGACAGATATTCATTTGTACATTTGTATTGTTATTTACAATTGAAGGAGCACAATGTTGCAATTTATATTCAGAGCATTATTCATTGAAATGCTGGTTATTGCCCATATATACATTATGAATAGTCATATGAGTAATCAAATTTAAATTCTCAGAATCGTAGTGATGTCAGTCTAAAGTGCGATTGTTTAGGCCTTTATTCTAACGAGAGGGCTCAAATGCACTTCATTTCCGATTGTTAGTATTCTTATCATTTGAACCTAAATCAGAAACATGATGTCTGTTTTAGATTTCCATATTTAATACAGTATAGTTTTTTTTTTCTTCGAAATCGTAACGCTGGATGATCGTGATATAAATTATATATAATTACTCAGAAAATAATCATTAAAAAGTCAAAAAAGATAACATTGAAGGAAAAATATCGTGTTGATGTATATAGACAGAAAAACTCTTCTAACATAGAACTAAGTCCTCGAGGGAGAACTGAGCCATTATGTTCCTGGTTCTGTAGAGAGCAATCTCAGTTAACGTATATTCTTTGTATAATTTCTTTGCCTATTTCTTAATCTGCATAATATGTTTTGATACGGATCTATTCGGTTCATCTATTGTAAGAGAACAATTATCAAAACGTTGTGGAATAAAATTACCTTCCTTTCGCCCATTTATTTTAGAATCGACTGCAAAGATCTTTGTGACAGATGAAGGCACCGAGTACAAGATCTTTGTTGCAGATCTACAAGATGACCTAGACTTCACTTCCATTCCATCCACTAAAGAACCGCGTTTTATTACCTATGACTCCGTGGAGAAGAAGATCTACTGGACTGACTTTGATGAACAACGAGTCTATCGTTCTGATGCGGATGGAGGAAACATGGAGGAGGTCACTTCTGGAAGTAGTGATCGTAAGATTTATTCACGTTTTCGTATAAACATGAATCTTGATATATGATCGTATGCACTCTATCAATATTTCTAAAATCAAATCACAATTGTGGTTTTGTGGCTAAGTCATTCTTATTGCATATATAGAGCCTTTACGCTGACAGATTTTCCGTATAGGAAATGTAAGGCTGCACAGCTTATGTAAATAAAAAGGAAGTATAAACACATGTTCATATACCATCAAGTTAGTTGACGATTGTTTACATCTTCACTGAGTGAAACTTAGAAAATAATATTATTCAAAGACCTCCTTGCCATTATGGGGTAAATGTTGTTCGCCTTATTCCTATTAATTCATTTCATCATTTCAGTTGTTAAGAGGTCCCGCCTCCCTTGTTCCGAGAAAGTTTTTTTTAAATTAAATTGCAGTACTACGAGAAATTGCTATTGCCGAGACATCTCGCACTCTCTACGTAGCGAATAGAAGTCAGAAGAAAATAACATCGGTATCGATTGCACAAGGAAGCTCGTTCCCTAAGAATGAAACGGACTTTACATCTGAGTTATCTGAAAAGCCATATTCCTTAGAAGTGGATGAAGAGAAAGGGTGAGTCTATCGTGGTGTATCCACGATATACCATGTCCATTTCTTTTCTTTATACCGGAAGAATAATGGAGTTCTTTCATTTCACTGATTTGATTGATTTGATGTATTTACCAACAGCAATGCTAATACATTTCATACAATGATATTTACCTATACAAGAAGAGGCACTATTGGTAGGTAAAAGGCGTCAGATAATAGCGCATGTGTAAGCCGAGTCTAACCCTTTAGACCTACAGCTAAACAAATTATTTGGTACAAATATAAATTCAGAAAACGAAACAAAACAAAAATAATTAACTTACTATTACAATCCGGGATCTTATTTTATGATGTTTTGTAGAAGATTATTTCCCACCACCCCCTCCCATCATATGGACGTATTTATTCATTGGTCAATAGAGCGAACGTAAACATAACATGCACCATTTTTTTGAACAAAATGTTAAATCAGAAATGTATGAGTATAGATTAGTAATCATGTTATGTTCATTGCCAATCACGTTAAAATATGATATTGACCTTACCGCTGATACAAGTCATGACATAAAAATCTCTAAGTTATATCGTACGCATAATTGCTCGGTGTTTTGGGCATTATTTGATGAAATACGAATAGATGTACATTTAAAGACTAACGACTAGTCTATATGCAAGCTAAATCGTTTAAACGTCCAACAGCAGCGATGGAAACCCGAAGTGAATGCCCACACTAATTTAGAGGGGCCTTTATCCTTTCGGTGGAGGGGGCAGAAGTAAGCAGATTGTGCTTATTTACAGAACAGGGTAAATATCGGGGTTTTCTCCTTCAATTTTCCGCTGCGATTTTGAATGTATTAGGCCTAAAGTTAATGAATAATTACAATACTTATAACAGGAACATCACAACCATAGTAACCAGGCCATTGCTTAGCCACTGAATCATGATTGTACGCAGCGGGGGCTAGGGTACGTCGCCGCCCCCACAAATACCACAAAAAAAATTGAAATGCTATAAATTATCAATAATTCATTGTATTTTCCCCCGATCCCCAACTGGAAAAATATCTCTGTAGGGCCATGCATTATTGTTCAAGGCATGCCCACATAGAAGATATATTTTAATTTTAGGGGTCGGGGCAAAATGCAATGAATTATTGATAATTTATTGCATTTTATTTGTGTTTTTTGTGTGTATTTGTGGAGGCGGCGACGTACTCTAGCCCCCGCTGCGTACATTCATGATTCAGTGGCTAAGCAATGGCCTCGTTACTGTAGGCCCCAGGATCAAAACCGTGTCGATGTGCTATATTAGTGCCCTTTTATGAGGCATTAATCCTCATTACTGTCAGTTATGACTTAAGGACGTAGGTCGCCTAGTTGATTAGCACAGTAGCACACATACTTCAGCAGTGACGCAAAACAAACACTCACAAATTATTATTCAATAAAATCTGAGAATGTTTACTATAATCTAGATCTATTAGGAAAAAATCATTGTCAAAATCATTCCATAAATTGGGGTAAAAATAATTATTCCACCATTATAACCAACAGTGTATATACCATCTTCTATTTTCGCGATGTTCTTGTTATAAGTTTTGTAATTATTAAAAAGACCACTTATGAGAATGGGAAATGTTTGTTTGTTGACGGAAAAGGGCCACCCATCAGATTTGCATCCCTTGTTTAAAGATACTATGTCCCTTTTGCAGCCAACATCAAATTCTGTAGAACTTTGCAGGAATTATGAATATGTCATCATTGTCATGTTTGTCCTATCTGTGAAATTTAAACGTTAGCAGTGTCCTAATATTCAAATTATGCAAGGAAACCCGTCTACTTGCTAGACTTCACTGTCAGACACTATTGAGTGACTGACTGGCTTTTTTCTTCTTTGATAATATATATATCATACATACAATGAGCTGTACAGGGTACATAAGCATTTGTCTACATCAATAACCCTCTTCTTGTAATGGCCAAATTAAACTGATTGAATCTTTGCGCAGCATAAAATGTACGACCATTCGGTACAATGGTCCATATAGCTCCTATTAGTCTCATTTGACAACGCCCCCTATCGTCAGAATCCAGCAGCCTAACATCTTAGCATATGGACTTTACCACCCCCCCCCCCAAAAAAAAAAAAAAAAAAAAAAAAAATCGTTAAAAATTCATTTTTTGTTTAAACGAAAAGCACATCCACCCCGACACTAACTCTATCATTGGAACCCTCATATTTCATTCACTTTTGAAAGTTCACCCATCGTAATTTGATCAAAATAGGTCGCCAGCTTGCCATTGCCTATATACCGCATGTGTAACAAGTCGAACTTTGGACGCAATTTGCCACGCGATTGTAAGGTTATAGGTCAAGCACACGAAGGATAACAAGCATGAATTATCATAGATCACTTTTGTTTGGTTAATTATGTCCATTTCAGCCAACCCCCGTCGTAATTTTTCTATTTAGTATAGGCATACATTTTGCCGAGGTAAGCAAAAACATGAATATTCATGACACACCATGGACTATTCAATTATTTACAGAGGGGTGCAATTGTGCACCACATCAAACTCCCCTACTTTCAGTCAAGTATTTCATTGTATTATGTAGTTGGGTAGGTTTTTTTTTACTAACTGTTTAATTACCAGATATCAGTGATAGTTTAAGGATATGGAAAAGGTTCTTGTATTTTATATTTAGCAAAGCAATCTCACATACAAAATCACTATCAAGTGTCGTCTGCTCCGCCGATTGCCGTCTGCTATATACGTTCAAGGCACATATTTATCCGTGGACTGTGATGTAGATCGACATTTTACTTGTCATTGTAGATTTATGATAAGCCATCTGTCATTATTAGTCTTTAATTGTTCACACACATACAGTTACCACACACACGAACTCTCTCACTTCCCCTCCCCAACACACCATTTCTGCACATCCGGTTCACCCTATGGCATACACCCTGCAACATAGTGGAACATTCTAGTTTGGTAGTGCCGTCGAACAAGCTACGTTAATGGTCGAAAATGAGACAACCGAAGCAGAATGGTTGGCTGTTCAAAATAATTAAAGGTTATCCTATGGATTGAATCAAGGTTCTGTGAAAGCCTAGAAGTACTGAATCAAGAAGAAAATTAACGCTTAAAAGGATTTAAGACCAAAGAAACACACGCATATAGCCTGATCCACATTCATTCCATCAGCCCAAAATTGATACAAGGCGATTTTGACCAGACTTTTTCAAGACTCTGGTGCTCAGTCACCTGTGGCAGAAATATTATGAATAGGATATCGTTGGACAGAAAACAAGTTCTCGTCATTATGAAATAGATTTCAAAGTCATATTGGTTATGACTTTTCAATCAGGAGCTACCAAAGTAGGCACATCTGTTGTATACGCACTGTATAAATGTAGGATTTCTTTAAAACTTCAAGTCATAAAAACGATAATGAATTCAACAATTATGGAGGTTTATAAAGCATCCGTACGTAATGGTATCAATCTTTTCCGTAAGTTTTTTTTGCAGGAGCCCCTTTTCCATAAATGTGCCCTCTTTTGGCGACCCGCTTTGAAAAACATGTTCATCTCTAATTATGTTCATGTTGATATCAAATGACAGGACACACTTTATTTTTCAGATTCATGTATTGGTCAATGGACAACGAGATCCTACGCAAACCTCTCAATGGATCGGGAAGCACTGAGACTGTGTACTCTAACTCCGATCTATCCACAATCAAGGGATTAAGCATTGATCTCAGCCGTACGTATTAAAATGACCTGTCATGTCAGATAAATGAATGGAAATTTTGCAAGACAGTTTATATGGGTACCCGGTATGATGGGAGCGTCATTGTGGTTGAATTAGCATGTAGGCGACTTACTTTAACGCCCTCATGGAATGAAAAATGTCCACTGTATTGTGCAGAATGGTGATAGAATTCAATAAATTGGGTAATAAAAATACTGTAATCGCTTTGGTTAATTGATGGGAAAGTGCTTCATAAAAAACAGGTATTTGCATTAATATTTGTTTTGAATACGCTGAATTATCATGCACTTCTTCGAAATACACTGTTGCTCATAAACTTGGAATATTTTTTTTGATTCCCCCCCCCCTCCCCAGTCCCCAACAGAAAAAACATCTTCTGTGTGCCCATGCCTTGAGCCATAAAGCATGGCCGTACAGAGGATTTTTTTTTATGTTGAGGACCGGGGTAAAATACAATGAATTATTGATAATTTATTTATTTTCTTTGTTTTTTTTGTTATTTGTGGGAATTGCCCCCTACCCTAGCCCCCCCCCCCCCGCTGTGTACAGTGTCATGGTTCAGTGGCAAAGCAATGGCCTCGTAACTGTGAGGCTCCATGATCAAAACAGTGTCGATGTGCTATATTAATGCCCTTTTGTGGGGCATTAATCCTCATTACTGTCATTTATGACTTAAGGGCGTAGGTCCCGTAGTTCATAAGCACAGTAGCATACACATGCTTTAGCAGTCACGCAAAACAAACACTGGCAAATTATTATTCAATAAAATCTGAGAATGTATACTATTATCTG